CTATGCAGGTCTTTGTGAAGAACCTTTTAGTACAGCGAGAAGATTTGATGGTATATGTGGCGTTCTTGCATAGCCAGCAATATTTGCACGTGAACACATGCTAATAAGCTCGTGAGTTGTTGGTGTTGCACACTTCACGCGCTATCTCACGACACCTTGACTTCAAACAGCTACTGTTACAGTTTCATGGATCCAGTTCTTCGAAAACAAGTTGAATTAGTTTCTAACTAATTGCACTGAAAAAGGAGTCGTGATTGGCGTGCGTGTTGTGCAGTCAAGAACTAAGATACAAGTGACTCGATTAGGACTGATACAGAGAAAATCGTAGAATTATTGGAATGGCAAAAACCCAACTTTAGGAGGAAGGATACCGGGAGGGGCTCGAGTGCGGCCGATTTCAGTTTTAGGTTAGAGGAAGGAACACCTCGGCTACGGACCGGCCATACTATTCAAGAAGGTGATTTTCGTCATTCCTACAGTTCCTGCAAATCCTTTGATACTCCAATTCCGATGTGCCGCACAACGAATCGCTTTGCGACTTTTGAGTAAACACTGATTTTTCGCAATATACAATGGTGCGGGACCCGCAGGAATCCCAAGAAATGCCGGTTTCAGGAAAACATTATGACGGTCCCGTGGGCAACGCTTCCGAAGACTGCTGGTCCTTTCGCCCTAGAGTTGTATAGGGGCCTGCAGGATCGCGAGAGTCGGCCGTGCGCACGGCCATTGCGTCGCGCACGTCCGATGTCGCTAAAACAGGTGCCAGACTTATCCGCTTCAACCGGTTCGTTCGGTTCATAGGTCGGTACTATTCCACATAAGTTGACCCAAAAAATGAAAATCGTGAATCTCGCTAAGACTCTAGGGGGGTTATTTGGTACGCTGAACACGAATATGATGTTTATTTCGTGCGACAGCGCCATCCGGTGGAGTTACGGTAGGATACGGTAGGGGGTCAAAATCACGGATTTGCCCGAAATTTGGCTCAGAGGGGTTGTTCGACCCGCTGGGTTTTGAACCGTAGCGTCATTTTATCTTACGGTAGATACACGGTGACGGGTGTAAAACATAGTTCATCCCGAAACGGGTGTGTGGCGATTTGGATGATCGTGAAGCTTTGCACACATGACCACCGCCGCGCGCTACACACTCTGCTGCGGCTTTTGCCTAAGCAAAGCACAGGGGAAAGATACATTTGCCGATTTGTGATTTTGACCCCTACCGTAAACCTACTTTAACCATGCAGGGAGACGTTTTCGTGCGGAAAAAGTGTGACATTTCTAATCAGCATGTCGAATAACCCCTCTGTGCAAAGTTGCAGCGAATTTCGAGATTTTGACCCCCTACCGTATACCCACCGTAGCTCAAGAAGATGACACTACAGTACGAAACCAATGTGATATTCGGCGTCAGCGGGCCGAATAACCCCTCTAGGCCAAGTTTCGGGCAAATCCGTAATTTTGACCCCCTACCGTAATCCTACCGTAACTCCACCGGATGGCACTGTCGCACGAAATAAACATCATATTCGTGTTCAGCGTACCAAATAACCTCCTAGACGAAGTTTTAGTAAAATTCACAATCTTTATTTTTTGGGTCAACTTATGTGGAATAGCGCCCATAGGTCAAATCACTACACTGTTCAACAGAAAAAGTGGTGAACCGAATGAGCCTGTTGAACAGGATAAGTCTGGCACCTACCTGAGTCGTCGGAGCGCATCTGACGTGCGCGGCGCAGCGGCCGTACGCATGTCCGACTCCCGCGATCCTGCAGGCCCCCATATATCGTGTTAGGACCAGCAGTCTCCGGATGCGGTGCCAAAGCACCCCTAAGCCAAAATGGCCTCAAGTAGAAACAGAAAGTGAACAAAAACGATAATAAAGTTTAAAACAACAGATAAAACATCAAGTAAATGATAAAATAGACTAACAAATCAAGGACCTACCCTTTGCCGATCCTGCTTCCCACCACGATCGATCGATCCCGCCAATATAGTGCGCGAGGGCCAGTGAACCTGCAATAACGGACTACTCAAGGATGAGCAGGGATTGCGAAAATTACGGACGACGAGAATCACGTGACGTTGAAGCAATAAAGCAAAGTATCGACAACAACTAACATAAAAGATTATCACACACAAACGCACTCACACGCATCCATACGCAATCAAGCATACTGAAACTATGCATATCAATTCAGAAAACATAAAACTCTCAGCACTACCCTACTCCTTTCTCAATAAGCATTTCACCCTCGATGAGATTGCGAGGGCAAACGCAAGTCACAATTTTGCCTTAAAGATGACAGAGTGGTCCAATTGGTGTCCACGTGCGTCCTTTGCACATAGACGAGCCCTTCCAGCCCTCGGAGTAGTCTCAAGCATCGATTTGACGAGACTGCCCGGGAAATAGCAAGGGACGAGGGTCAAGCCTGTCTTTCAGTCACCCTTGCCCCGCAAAATACCTACAGTACACAAAAATGTGAAAAAACAACACACAAAATGGTCTCTTATGACCCCGTTCATTTTCGGCTGACGCCGTGCCGCTGCCGCGTAATAGACGTGGGGAATTGTGGGGCAAACTATACACTAGCTGATGCAGCTTTTTTAGCCCCATCAGACAGTATATAGCTTGCCCATAGTTTTTCTCTCCTGTATAACTCAGCCAGAGGGCGGCCAACAACATGATCATGTGATGTGACAAACACTCCAATGCACAAAATCGAAGGCTTTTACATTCATAAACGAACAACGATAGAATGTAACTGTACACGATGATAGAAAAAAAAGAAAAACATCAAGAACGCTGCATATAAAAGTAAACGAAAAATTTGGGCTGAATAAGCGAGCTGTGCGCATGCACAATTGATTATTTCTATTTTTTTCATTACTGTATTGTCGCCATTGTGCATGTGCGACCTATTAGGTCGTTTCAAAAGTAATTTCGCTTTTTTCAAACGGGCGCCACATCTGATGGAATAAAGGTTCCTGAGAGATCTTGGAAGCATTTGAAGCAGCATTTCATTCTCTTTCTAATGGTTATGAAATCTTTGCAAAACAGTCAATGAGCTTTCAGAAAATAACCAAAATCTGCGACCCATGTTTTTTGAGATGGTCAAGTTTCACGATTTTTTAAAATTTTCATATCAATCCTCAAGAAGAGTTCAAGTAACGATTCGATAGAGTAAACCTCATAGAATACACTACTACTTTTTTCTCTTTCTTGTAACTCGCCGTAATTTTTTAAAAGATTTTTTAACAGAACCATCGGATTTTGGCAGGCCCACTTCAGCCACATTCACATCAAACATCATAATTTTTCGGAATTTGAGACTACCAAGATGGTACTGTGAGTTAGCACAAAGTTTACAAAGCAAGTGAGGGCTTACGGGCTCGAAATATCAAATTTCGAGTTTTTCGGGTACAGCCTGGGGCTCGCCAAAAAAATGAGTTATGATGATTTCTCCTCGGAAACTAAACGAATCGGAAACAAAAAACACCTGTTAGAAAGAGGAGAAAATGCTGCATCGAAAAGTGCGCGAGCTGCTCTTCCTTTGATGTTCTACGAGGATTTAGCTGCCTAAGTATGGAAATCGGTAGCATTAGTTAAAATTCTGTTAAAAATGTATGACAAGCTATGGAAAAGAGAAAAAAGTAGTACTGTATTTTATAGGGTTTGCTCTATCGAATCGTTGCTTGAACTTCATCTGAGGATTGATATGAAAGTTTTAAAAAATCGTGAAACTTGACCATCTCAAAAAGCATGGGTCGCAGATTTTGGTTGTTTTCTGAAAGCTCATTGACTGATTTGCAACAGTTTCATGACCATTAGAAAGAGAATAAAATTCTGCATCGAATGCCTCCAAAATCTCTTAGAACTATTTGTTGCGTCAAATGTGGCGCCCGTTTGAAAAAAGCGAAATTACTTCTAAAACGACCTAATATATTGCGAGGTTGGCGTCTCAGACACTCGCACCGGCCGGCGGCCGTACAAAGACCGGCTGGCGTAACCACAGGTCATTGCATACAGTCGCGTAGTCTACGCCCGCCGGCCGGTAATTGGGACGGCCGCCGGCCGGAAAGGTACGGCCGCTAGCCGGTATGTGGGAACTGCGCTACGAAATGGCCATGTGACGCAATTTCTCTTTTTCCGTATTTATTTCGCTCTGCCGCCTATCCTCGATATAAGCAAATACAAATCCGCATGAACATATTTATTGTAATTGCATCATATAATGAAACATACATAAATGAGAATAATGCGTAAAGTTTCATACAACATGCAACTAAGGCTACAAAATTGGACGCTTCTTTCTGTACAGGAAAGACGAGGTTTTCTTGCATTGTACCATCTATTCGTGACAAGGGCTCACGTATCGTCGGACTTCCGCTGATTCCGAACTGAAAAAAGTTCACTTTCGTATCATAGTGAATGCCACATAGCAGACGATCTGCAAATGAGATAAGCTACCTACTTACAGATCATCCCGTTAACATCAAAACTTACCGACGGTGCTGTACAGTCTGCCCCAATCGGAATCAGGCCGAACCGTCGGCTGAATTTGCGCGCTCGCAGCGCTAGGGGTTTGCGCTGCATACGCGCGCTGTGGGTTGAGCCAGAGTGCGCGGCGTACGGGCGTACGTGACGTACGCAGCGTACGCTCGGTATATTTCATCATAGGAGAGTACGCGGCGTACGCTGCGCAGTCTGGCCCAACCCTGTCGCAGAGAGCGAAGAGAGTGAGGAGAGAGCAGACTAGCTAGACGCAGAAGTGGCGCGAAACCCTCGCGACGCGTACTCCCGCCAAGCCAATTTCGGCCTGGTTAGGATTGGGGCAGACTGTATATGACTGGGCAAAGCAAATCCAAAAGCTCAAGCAATTGTAGCAGACACGTATTGAATGTTGTCCTCCCTGAAACTCACAGGGACTAGTCCATTCAAATGTTTGAAGTCTTGTAGAGTCTATACTAGGAGTTAGGCGTAAGGTCAAGCCTTGCGGTAGAACACGAATTAGATAGATTCCAACTCCCATAGAAATGTGTGTATATGTGATACACACGTAATCCATGAATGCATAGTGCTGAGATACATGGAGAGTTAGTCGAAAGGTCATATGCTCCATATGGGTAAGGATGATAAACAGCGAGTGCAAAGAATAATACGCCGGTTGCATAGCGCAAGATCTCAATACCATGCATATCACATTCGTTTCCTGAAAAAGATGGTTATGAAACGTGCCCGTTTGTTGTTTAAACCTTATACCCCTCAGCCAGTAGGTTCCAGCTCGGCATGTTACTTTTTTACTGCCATACAAGACAAGCAACAGATTTAAGAAAGGCGCTACAGATGTCATTAAGATTTTCTTTATTCTGGAAAAGAGAGCGGTATTAGCGAGGTAGAGCTAGGTATTTTGACCAAGCATACAAATTTTTCTTCTAACGGTGAAGTACGTAAACAAGACATGAACGAAGTAAGAAAATGACGCGCAATCATAAAAGAGGAGAAGTAGAGCGTTTGTTTATGCAGCTCAATCACGCAATTTTCAAATCCTGCTCACTTCCCGCGACACGGCAATGTTACCGACTGGCGGCCGTTCGAGCGGCCACCAAACGGTATAATTTTGGGGCGGCCACCGGCCCTATTTAGCTCCGCCCAGATTTAAAAAGCGGCCGCCGGCCGGAAGGCCGTTGTCGGACGGTGGCCGGCCGGTGCGAGTGTCTGAGGTAGTCGAGCTCTAGTCCTGCGCTATGTCTCTGCGTCTCCATGATGGAAAAAGTATTTCGCCGTCTCGTCCGCCACGACATGTCGCAATATGTCGCTATATGTCGCGATATGTCGCAATATATAGCGACAAAGTGGGACTACCCTGGCTTCGCATTGATTGCGTTCGCCGGCAATGTAAAGGATAGCCGGCTTGCCTGCCTCGCTCCATGGTAGTCAGCACATGTCACGGCGGACTCCGAGCTATACGTCAGCACATATGGGGGGTTTACTGGTGAGAACACTTACATGCCATCTTGTAGAGCTTGCTTTGCTCTATCGAATGGTACCCTGCATCTTAATCAAGATTGAGATACTTGTGAATTATTGCGGTAAAAATTCAAAATTGAAAACTTATGAGACAACCTAATAGTTATGCTTGTTGCCTAGCTATACAGGTTGTGAGAGTAATTTAAACTGAAAACTCTGAAATTTTAGCTACTTATAGTGTGCGGTATCGAGCTCACACAACGATATCAATGGCAGTAGATCACTCGTTATCGTCAGACATTCATTTCTGTTGTTCATACTCGGATTACGAGAGTATATCCACGCCGCTTCAAGGGTTTTTCGTGCTAGGATATCAGCCTCAAACGCTAGGATGACACATTTAACGCTAAAATCATTGCCACCGTGCTCTTATGCTCTCCCCCAATGCTCTGCTTATACCTAAGATTTACACAACTTTCAAACCGATGCCATCCGTAGAAATATTATGTAATCTCAAAATGTCTTGCCATGTAGATGTAGAAATCTCTATCCCTTCGTTGTAGTGTTAAGAATTAACTAGACAACCGCTGTCTGCATGTCTAGTACAGATTAGTGCAGTCCAAGAAGCGAAGAATACTTGTGAGTCAAATTGTGCCTGAGTCAGTCTTCATAGATCGTCCCAAACGTACGCAACGAATTCTATTGTTAAAGTTCTTCGAACGAAAAACTAACATATTTAGTTGATACTTTTAACCCCTGCACTCGCCATAATTCTCTCTCCTTTTTGACGCTCACTTTTGTGTGCTCATCGCGAATGCTTGCTTAACCTCAATTGGAACTTTTCCAAACTTTGAACTTTTCCTGAAAAATTTTCTTCGAACATTCTTTTGACTGCGCTGTACTGCATTCTTTTTATCAAAGTCCTCCTAATCCCTTCATGCCCTGCTGCCTCAACGTGGCGTGGGGTGCCCCTGGGTGTGCTCGTAACCGCAACGAATGTCAAATGTTGGGGCTTACGCGAGAAGTGGTATCCAATTCGTACTTTCTAACTTGCCGTACCGACTCTACTTGAATTTTACTTTTGAATTTGAAAAAGCCCGAAAACCCAAAAAATCTTGGTGACTTTTCTTGTGAAAGACCAGCTTTGACTTTACTCTTTTACAATTGTCAAGCTAAAATTATTTTCGTGTCGTATCTAGGGCCCGTAGTAAACCCCTCGTGGTTGTCACTACATAGAGGGACTATGTCGTGATAGCTCGGAGTATCTCGCAAGACTATAGCGAGCTATCCGCAGGACGCCGCAAAACGAACGCCTCCCCGTGTCATCGAACCGCTGATGACCGCGATAACAGCGCCGAGGTCACGGCGTTTTACTAGGAGAGGAAGAACGCGCGTAGCAAATAAAGCTGTTTTAGTAAAATCAGTAGGGGCACACGACATGCAGTTTTACTTGCAATATGTCTGATCCGTAATATTGATGTTTAGAAGTAATTACTGCTCTCGCAATAGGTGTAAAAATGCACATACAGTGACCGCCAAAAAGTTGCGGACAAGCCTCCCTCCCTTTTCATCGCTCTTTTTCAGAGGGAAAACAAGGATAAAAAAATGTAATGATTGCATGAGGTGATAGAGCTCTTCAAGATCTACAATCTACACTTTGCATTTTTCGAAAAACATGTATTCTAAAAATTTTAAAAAACTTTTTGTAAAAAAAGTCCGAAAATGGCCGCGTCACAATGTCGCGGACAATAATTCTTCGAACGCAAAAATTTTCTTTTGAGTCCTATTCTGAAGCTGAAACACAAGTAATTCAGACGGATAAGCATACTACTATACAGAGCTCGTCAAGAACTACACACTGGTTATGGTTGCTTCCCAGAAAACACAAGTTTGAGTTTTAGTTTGCTTCTTTTTTCCAAAAATAACTTCTAATTCTTCTTTTTAAGCCAAGTTTCTTCACATGGAAACCTATTCACGACATTCCAACAACGCTGTTCGGATAAAGCAGATGCTTTTACCATTCTCCACGCATCTGACGTGTGCTGATGAGTTTCTTTGTTGAAAATGGCTCTTGGCAGTACTTGCACATGACCCCACCTGCACCTCACCACTGACTTGTACCGCTTTGCAGGCTTGTAACTCGGCTTGTAGTCAGTATGTGAGCCTGCAATTAGGCTCATTCGAAAGAACGAGACTTCCTCTACACGATGGTATGTAAAAGAGATGGGCATAAGAAGTAGCGGAGATTTGGCGGATGGGTGGAAAAACGCGGCCTCAGTGGTAGGGTGAGGATATCCAGCTAGAGTTGAATAGAGCTTCTTTCGCTACCAGTTCAATCCTGGAAGCTTGAAACTGCCAATGTTCTTGTAATAGATCCATTTTGAAGCTCTAGAACTGTTTTGGTGTTAATAAGAGCCTTCACTCCAACCACCACTGAGGCCGCGTTTTTCCACCCCATCCGCCAAATCTCCGCTATTTCTTATGCCCATCTCTTTTACATACCATCGTGTAGAGGAAGTCTCGTTCTTTCGAATGAGCCTAATTGCAGGCTCACATACTGACTACAAGCCGAGTTACAAGCCTGCAAAGCGGTACAAGTCAGTGGTGAGGTGCAGGTGGGGTCATGTGCAAGCACTGCCAAGAGCCATTTTCAACAAAGAAACTCATCAGCACACGTCAGATGCATGGAGAATGGTAAAAAGCATCTGCTTTATCCGAACAGCGTTGTTGGAATGTCGTGAATAGGTTTCCATGTGAAGAAACTTGGCGTAAAAAGAAGAATTAGAAGTTATTTTTGAAAAAAAAGCAAACTAAAACTCAAACTTGTGTTTTCTGGGAAGCAACCATAACCAGTGTGTAGTTCTTGACAAGCTCTGTATAGTAGTATGCTTACCCCTCCGGATAACTTGTGCTTCCACTTCAGAATAGGACTCAAAAGAAAATTTTTGCGTTCGAAGAATTATTGTCCGCGACATTGTGACGCGGCCATTTTCGGAATTTTTTACAAAAAGTTTTTTAAAATTTTTAGAATACATGTTTTTCGAAAAATGCAAAGTGTAAATTGTAGATCTTGAAGAGCTCTATCACCTCATGCAATCAATACATTTTTTTTATCCTTGTTTTCCTTCTGAAATAGAGGGATGAAAAAGGGAGGGAGGCTTGTCCGCAACTTTTTGGCGGTCACTGTATAAAGCATTTGAAGATAGCGCAGTGCCAGTGTCAGAGGCCAGCGTGCCCAAGGGGAAAGAGTTCGAATCCTACGCAATGCCGCCTTTTGCAATTTGTTAATAGTTGAATTTTCATGCAAATGAACTCATGTTAGGAAATTTCCTGCTGGTAAAGAGAAAATGACATTTAGAACAGTCGATGTTGGAAGTGCATAAGAAAAATGAAAATATCATCAAGCATTTACTACTTTGGTTTGTTCAAAAATTTGCTATTCCCTTAGCCATAGCACCAGACGGTCCCTTCTCTCAAAAATAGAAGGGAAGCGAGAGGTGTACGGCTAACGAACAGCATTTCAAACAAAACTATGTGTTTGAAAATGCTAGGATTGAAGAAGAGATAGAAATTTGAGGAATTTTAGCACGAAAAAGAGATTTGGTGCGCACATGAGGTTTGCTTTCTATGAGTTTGCTTGAGATTTGCGCAACAAGCAATCTTAACTGTATCATACAATTACTCATCTCGATAGTTTTCTATTTTAAACTCTTAATATGCGTAACTGTGCAGCGGTGTAGCTAACCAGTGTTTCGAGAATGGCCTAGCAATGGTACCGGGTTGGAAAGATTGTTGTGAAAAATCGCGAGAGCGTCTTGCTTTCAATGTCAACGCGGCTCGACTGTTAGCAGTCAAAGCAGTACCTATAGTGGATTCACTTTTCCCAGTTTGCTTGAGGAAAGGCGCCGGAAAAAATGCACGTCCACATTGAGATACCCAACAGTATGACTGAAAACACGCGAAGTCATGAGTGATATCCCATTATACAGTTTGACGTTCGCATTGCTAACGAACATTCTTGAAGCTGCAGAGCAGAAGCTCTTTTCTGGACACAAAGTGTAAAAATTCAGAATTTGTTGAAATTTTTTGTCGCTCTGTCTAAAGCGCAATCATATTTCCAACTAAAGAACTTAATAAGCTTCTAATATTCTCTCTTTTGTGGCTCATTTGCATTCACATAGCATTCACATTTTTAAAATCACCCTAATGGATATATTCAATATTTGGTTTGTCAAATGGCATTTTAAACCCCTAATGGTGTTTTTACATAAATTAACAGTACATATTACATACGTTTGTCTATTGGCTTTGCTGAAAAAGGAGACGCAAGAGATTGTCGACTATATAAGCGCGACAAATTTCATAATGCTAGTCTTTGTTTATTCTTTAAAAATACGCTTTT